ACTAAAGTGCTTAATAAAATTTCTACAGAATATATTACCCTCTCCATAGATGAATATTATTTTGAACTACAATCTGACAAAAATCTAACTACATTTAATTATGCTTGATTAATTCAAATGTCACTGAGAGATTTATAGAACAGAGAAATATTTTTCAGGTTAAGTTCATATTCTTTTCACTGTGAACTTCCAGGATCCACTATTACCACAGACTTAATATCTCAATTCTACGACATGTAAAAAAAAAAAGTCCCATGAAAGGCTTCTCAATAGTCCATACTGGACCATGGAACTCCAAGCATGAGGCTCTCTTTCTTAGCAGACAGACCTACATCAAAGGCTGACATCACCACTTCAAACTGGAGGTGCTGTGCCTGCAAAGTTGCCACACTGACAGGGACAGGATGTTGAGGTCAAGTCTCCACCTTGAGTAGAATTTTCCACACAGAAATGCACATGTCTTCTGGTTTTTAATAATACACTCAAAGGATATTAATGTGAGATAAGTTGCAGATCTCGGGGCCCAAAGATGACAAGGACGACAGACTTTCTTTTAATGTAGGCATATAGCTATCAGATGTTTGTTTGGAGACTTTCAGTAATGAAGCCCCAAGGTGCTTTTGTTCATATGCAAATAAGTCAATTTAAAGGGTGACAAATTGGCCCTACCTGTGGGAATAATTAAGCAAGTCATATCCCCTTCTCCAGTTAGTTAAGCCTCCTGCTTCAGGGTCACTCAGCTTCAAGGGAAATGAGGCAGGTGGGGAGAACTGCAAGTCTCCACTGTGACTCTGATGTGCCCTCTAAGGGAAAGTGGAATTGCTGCATGGAAAACTGCATGTAGCACACATGAAGTGACAGCCCTAAGCCTATCATGGAGATTAGGGGGAATTCATGTCCTTACTTTAGAGATACATGGAAAGGTAGAAACAAGAAAAAAAAGGTTTCTCAAGAATTCTGTGACTAAAATATTGTTTTTTCTATTGTCTTCATTTTGGGGGCAAGCACAGCTGATAGATAGCAAGCTGCAGACCCGAAAGGGAACCTTTCTCAGATATTCCTTTCCGCCACCTCTAAAATGAGTTTGGAAGTGTAAACAGGGTCTCTCCTGAAAAGCTGCTATTAGATGCTTTACACTTTTTTAAAATAATGATTTCTGAAGTCTTGAAAAGATGCATACAAACCTGTGGGAACTGTGTTTTTGTTATGAGGAAACAACAGCCTATATCATTCAATGAGATTTGATTGTAGAAGCTGGCCCCTCTTATCTGACCACTGTTCCCTGTTGGACAGCAAGACAATGACTAAAATGGGCTCAGTCCCCTCTGTCTACCTGAAGCTGTAGTGTAGGAACCTTGACAGGGTCCTCATAGAGTCAGGCACAGAAGACAGAATCTCCAAATTCAGATACAACAGAGAACAGAACTCGAGCTTCACTCACACTTGGCCTCTGAGGAACCCATCTGTCTATGATGGAAACGACAGTAAGAAGGTTCAGTGCTGTGCTCCAGTTCATTCTTCTCCATTGCATTCATCTCCCAGGTGAACTATAAAATTATTTAATTTCATTGCTAGTCTGTCTTCCCTACTAGAATGTGAGCTCATAAGGCATGGGGTTCTCTCTGCTTTGATCACTGCCTCACTGCCACATGCCCAGCACTTAGCATCGCTTCTAGCATGCACTAGACACTGGATATTATCATCACTTTCCTTCCCATGACTTCTCTGTCTGCCACCTTCACTTCCTTAGTCTCCTTTCTAAGACCTGTGTTCAATTCTCCATTGTACACCAGCACAAATTAGTGAAGACTCTGAGCTTAAGGGAAGGCCCTGCCTCAAGTGAAGTTAGGTGGATACAGCAAGGCTTTCCCTTGTGCTCCTCAAGAATCCTGAAGGTGACAAAAGTTTGCTGCGGGTTGTTTACTGGAATGTGTTGGCCACTGTGGCAAGGAAGCTTCAATCTTACCAATAAGCCAAATAAAACTCCCACCCCATAATCTACTTGCAAACACGCTTTTGAAACATCAGCCCATGTCCTTCCACGGTAGGTCCAAGACCTACAAACCTTTTGAATGTATATTCATAAATAACAAAAAAAATTACAATGAAGACTTAACACCTTCTTCCCTCTCTCTCAGTAAGGGTCTCACTGCGTAGTCCAGGCTGGCCTCAAATTCATGATCCTCCTGCTTCAGCCTTCCAAGTGCTAGTATTACAAGCATACACCACCATGCCTGGCATACCTTTCTATTTCTTAATGAACTACATTTTAAAAGGGTTAATTTAAAAGACAGGTAAGAATCCCTTCTTACCTATAATCTCCGAAGGGTTATCAACCTCAGTGAGACTTCTTGACTACATTCTATTAATAAAAAGAGCTTATACTTCTCCTGATAACTCTGATTATGTGCTAGTTTGAAATATTCTATCATTTAATTAACTAATTAATCACTGCCAATGGCTGATAACTTCTTAAGTTCATTAAAATGTCATATGTCCCGTATGTTCAAACCAGAAGGTAGTGATAGCCCAAGTCAATGGAACAGGAACCTTAGTTAAAGTTATCTTTCCACACAGAACAGTAAACAAAATCCTGTATTGATTAAGTTGTTAATGGTGCTCTCCTGCTGGCAATATCGGTTCCCTCTATTTACTAACATATAGATTATGAAGGACATTATCTTCAAAGTCAATGTTTAAGCACCTGGACCACTGGGAAAGAAGGCAGAATAAATGCATGTTTATATAAGTACTCATGCTCTCCAACACATGCATCCAAAGGTTGAACAAGAAGCTGTCTATCATGAAACTAATAAAAGTCACAACCCTATACCATGGACTGAAGGGACGTGTCTGACAGATAAAGCAAAAGACACATAAATACATTCTGGTAAAAGAATGATTTCAGAGACCATGAAAAATTTAGATAAAATGGTTCTGTCCACAAAGAAATAAAATAAGGAATCAAAGAAGCCAACATAATGAGCTAAGGGAAGAAGCAGTAACAAAAATGAAAGTCACATTACAAGCAACAAGGCCTAGAAAGGTACAAAAAAATCAAGTCAGTGAAATGGAGGATAAGACTTGAGAAAAAAGTCACACAGCATAAAGGAAGACAAGGAGATAAAAACCATGCAAGGAAAGATAACTATGAAAGATGAATAACAGAGAGCCAATAGAATGATAAATTCTTGAAGAACAAAACAAACCAATACAAAATGCACACAGGCTTGAAATGTCAATATCTAACATTCACTGTGTACCAGAAAAAGCCAAGAGACAACAGTCAATCTTGGATATACTGATTTTCAAGGATAAACAAAGAATCACATGTATCCAGGGCAAGCAAGCAGGTCATCTACAAAAGGGGAAGAAATATCCATCTAAACTCATACCTCTCAGCCACTACCAGAAATAGACAATAAAGTAATGTCTTCAAAGAACACAGGGAAAAAAGGATGTGATCCAAGAATCCATTAGCCAACTAAGTTATTGTTCATAAGTAATGGCAACAGAAATACATTTGTAAATATGTGAGAGAAGCTAACTGAAGCTATAATCCATCCAGTTCTCTAAAAGATTTAAAAGCATCAATCCCTGAATGTGGCGTCTCTGTATGAAAGGGCTGACAGTGAGTACTGATTTCACCAAAAGGTAGAATTAAGCTTAAATAACTCTAGTAATTACCTACAGCTATACACTTTAAGTTGCCTGTCTTTCCAGGTAAAAGCTGCCAAATCCATTTGGTTATCTCCTCCAACTATCTATGCCAAAATGTTAACACAAACACACACACACACACAAGCCAAAAAACAAAACAAAACAAAACCAAAAACAAACCTGTCCTGAGTAGAATTATCTTGCATTATAGAAAATTTTTGGTTTAGAGCTTCCTCAGAGGGGATAATGCTAATTTCCTGGTGTACCGTTCAGAGCACTAGCCTGGGAACAAGAAGACCCAGGTATTCTCTTTGGTTCTGCTATTCATTTACCATGCCACCTTGGCAAACCACTTAACTGCTTTGGTATTTATATGAAAAGTAGAGCTATTCCTGTGTGGCCCACCTCATGGTATTGTAAAGATCAAATGTGATGCTGAATGAAAAAGTTCTTTGGAATCTATAAGCAAGGATATAAAACCATGTTGCTGTTTAGATTAGAAGAACCCCTGTATTATGGATCCAAAATCAGATATTTAGAGACAAAGAAAGGATCAGATGGTGCCTGTGGACTCACCCTTATATCCTGTCATTTCTTTGTATTTTAATGTCATCTCTTAGCACTATAAAAGGAAATTCAGTACTTCCAGAGCTCCTGACCTGAATTACTGTTAATTTGGAGAGAATGATAGTTTAAGAACTTTGAAAGATGTTGCCCCACCACTCAAGATAAATGTCAGTTTTCATTCTTTGATTCAGCAAATATTAAGTACCTACTATGAGCTAGGCACCAATTCAAATAGTAGACATGGTCCCCAAATAATTAAAATCAAAGGGTAAATGAGAGGACATTACAGAGAAATGGGGAAAAATTAGCTGAAAATGGGTCAACATTTATTTATATTAATACCCTACATGTAGAAATCTGACCATCTGTTTATAGACAAACCAAGCAAACAGACAGATGTGCTTAAGCTCAGAGGATCATTTTCAGCTGACAAAAAGGACAAATGAGTATTTGGATAAAAGGGTTAGTAAACATTGAGAATGTAAGATGTTCCTGAAACTCTATGGTTGCTTTAGGAGCAAAGTTAATTTTTTTTGGTGGTACTAGGGTTTGAATTCAGGGCCTCATGCTTGCTAGGCAGGTGCTCTACCACTTGAGCCACTCTGCCAGCCCAGCAAAGTTAAATTCTTAAGGAAGAAAACAAAGATGAGAGCAATCAGATTATACTGGAGTCAGATGGATATGTGTAAGCCCAAAAGTATATCAGTAAAAGATTATGGATAAAAACATCAAAATAAAATTTTGCTTTTGAAAAATGAGAATATGATAGGATTTTTCTATACCATATTCAACCTTATGTGATATTGTGAGGGCATTGTAATCAATGGGCATTCCTCAAACAGTAAGAATAGTGCTGGAACAAGGCAGATGGTACCACCACCTGAATTCATTGCCTCTTTTCTCCTACAACATATCACACTTGAAAGTATAAAGGAGGAAGGTTGGAAATTGAGGCCCAATAAGATATAGTCATGCTATCTAATGTCTATAAGGAAGCTACAGTCCTTAAATGTAAAGGACCATTATTTTTACATCTTTTACACCACAAGAAAATAATCATATGGGACAAGATGTGACTCAGACCTAAAACTAACAAGCTGCTGTACAGCTCATCTCTTAGCAATCTCTTGGAAGTACGTATAGATATTTCTTTTTACCTCACTGATTATATATGAGTTCCGTGACAAGATCCTTCTAAAGCATGGGAAGAGATAATATCTTTCCAAAGATGAAAGAAGATACTAGGAGCTCAGGTAATATAATGAAATGGAAGAAAATCAGATTCAGTGGAACTAAGAAAAACCAAGCTGCAATCAAGCCAAGTATGGCTGGTCAGAGTCACAACCACTCCCAGGGAAAAATTACCCACTGTGGTGACAGTGGAGACAACTGCATTACTACTACAGTATGACTAAAGGAAGAAGACTACTTTGCAAGTTAAAACTTCTGTTTTTTTTTCCCTTGAGACAAGGTCCCACAATGTAGCTCAGACTGGCCTTGAACTTGTGATCTTCCTGCCTCAGCCTCCTGAGTGATGGGATTACAGGTATGTACCACCGCACCTAACTACAAGTTAAAATTCTAAATCAGTGGACTCAATACCGTAAAAGTGGAGTGAACATTTATATGAACATTTAAAGGAAGGCAGAAGAGTACATGATATATATGAAAAATTACAGTGAACAGAAACATATACTATGAAGTTGAACTTGTAAGATGTTTAAGTTGAACCTGGGCTCTGAGAGAGCTTCTACTATTAAGGGAAATATAACATCATTCCTCTTTCCTTACCCCAAGTCCTCTGCTAATTCCCACTTCCAACTTCTAGCAAAAAGTAAAGGACTATGAAAATCACATTGAGCTGATAAGTCTTAAGCTGGCTAAAATTAATGACAATGAAAATTATGAAGACTTACAGCATTTTTTCACACTAAACTAGAAAGAATGCTTCCCTCTGATAGTCTATTTCATAGCTAGTAAAGTGCATCCTACAGGAATTTCCAATTCCTTAGAAGACTACAAAGTAATTAATAGGACAAAGGTACAGTATTATACTGGTGAATTTTTATGGAAGTATCAAAGCTTCAGTTCCCACTCTTTACAAACTTTATATTGGCCAAAAGGCAGTTTTTCACTTAAGCTCTCTGAAACCAAGTTGTTAAGTGAAAACATCCAAGACAACATTTGGAGTGCTTTAATCAACAGAATGGAAGTATACAAATGAATTTTAAAATAAAATAAATGCCATAATGAGTAAGATCTAACACAAAAGTATCACACCTCACAGTAAGAGTATGATCAGATGGAAGAAGGCAAAAGTCTAAATCAGAGTGGAGGAAGGATGCGTATGAGAGAGGAGGACCCTGAGACTGAATTATTAAGACATGCTCAGCTGATACCTTCCATTTCCAGACTCTAGGCCCTAGCTTGGGACAAACATGGTATATGGTCACAAGGAATAACAGTAGGATATGCTACATATGGAATGGGGAGAGTTCATAATCCTGGGAAGACTTTAGACACTAGACTCCATGATAATGAGACAGAGAGTATAGGGCCCAAGAGCTCTCAGGAGGCCCTGTGCTCTTTTGTGACAGGTGCCAACCACACCACAGCAAAATACCATGACAAATTATTCAAATTACTACTTTAGTGAAGAGCTGGCTGGAGTGACTACAGCAAGGGCTCCACAGACAGGTCTAGCTGGTATGGAGAAAATACACATTTAAGCACTGGGAATAACTACAGTGCAATGTTCAGAGATGGTGGAAGAAAGTTCTCTAGTTGACCTGTAGAAGACAATCTTTCTTCACGAGAGGACCGGAGCATTCAGTTTTCTAGAAAGTTCTATTAGTCTTGATCTTATCCCTATAAAGAGAATAATGGGAATATCCACAATAAGTTCATACGTATAATCTCTATATTAACCAACACTTACTCAGAACATTTAGTTATGATGATAATCTAAAAATCCTTGCCTTAATTTATAATTATTTTCTAAGGTTCCTACAGAAAAAAATTGCCATTTAATTATTTATGTATACTTTAAAACAGTTCTTTACTCTCAGTTAAAAACTTGATTAGAAATGAAAAGTGTTTGCTAATGGATATGAGATTTCTTTTTAGGTGATAAATATTCTAAATTTAGGTAGTGGTGGGGGCTGTAAAACTCTGAATATACTAAAAACAACTGAACTGTACACTTTTAAAGGGCGAATTGTATGGAATGTAAATTGTATCTCAATAAATTTGTTACTTAAGAAGCTGTCTAGAAAATAAAGTAGAATTCTTCATGGATAAACACCTACTTCTCCACTCCTACTAAATATTTTCCCAAACTCTTTACCAATCCTCCTATTAGTTTAACAATTTACTATTAATGTGACATGAAAAGTCTGCTCCAATATTACTTTCTCTAGGTATCACTTTACTTTTCCAGTGAGAAAGCCACAAAGAACATCTGGTGTAAAGTATTGCTCAATCATCCGGGTGGTAAATTCTGTAGACAAATCAGATATTTTATAATGGAAATCGAAGTGGTGCATTACTGTTTGGCCTTGTATTTTGACGCATCCCTTGGTTCACTGCTGGGATTGCTCCAGTCATCAGCTTCAGGTGTGGTCTTGTAATGGCGCCATGCAGACTTATTGAAAACTGGCAGCCTCTCGAATGATTCACTTGAAAGGGCCTATTGGAAAAAAATATACACCAGAGGTCCATGATGCTGTTTTCTCATACGAGACACCCATACTTTACTATTTAAAACATCAGTAACTATAATGTGTATTTTTGAAATTACATTAAATCTGTATTTTAGTAGTTTACTTAGACTGGCTAGGAAAAAAAAAACTGAAGCTTTCTTAATGGAAAGAAAACATTTACTTACTCATTCAAATTCAGTTACTGAAGTACACATGACTAGAACAAAATGTATTTTAATTCAGCTTTGAGATACTGCATAGTTTTGACTACATGTTCTTACACCAAGCACTAATGTTTATTGGGTGGTTGCTCCCCCAAAAAGGCCCAAGAAGAAATAAAGTCTCATACATTCCAGATTTATAAACACATGCCACCAAGTGATATCAAATATCACATCATTCAGGAACTTGGTAATGTAGCTCAGTGGCACAGTGTGCTTAGCATACACAAGGCCCTGGGTTCAATCCCAGCACCGAAACAAAGAAACAAATCACATCATCAGATGCAATGGCATCTAAGAGAAATACTCCAAATAACTGGTTAAATTATGGTACAGTAGCATACTATGCCACAGTCAAAAAGAATAAGCCAGTTCTCTATGAACTCATTTAGAAAGATCTGCAAGATATATTATAAAGCAAACAAACAAACAAAACCAAGAGACTGAAATTTCACTTACGTGGGAAAAAGAGTAGATTGTATACACTTACAAATGCAAAATCAACTCTAGGAGGGTCCACAGGAAATTAAGAGGGACCCGCAGTTACCTCTAGGAAAAAGAACTTGTGGATTAGGCCAGCAGTGGGACACTTAGTTTTCTCTTTTGTAGCTTTTAAATTTTCACTATGTATCTCTACTATTAACTACTCAAAATATGCTACAAATATTTTAGAATTTAAAAATAAAAGTCGGACAGTGTCAATAAATGAGAAAAACAGAACTTTGCTATTAGATTAATATTTTTATACATAAATCATTACTGAATTCTTATAAATTGAGAAAGCCAGTGAAATTTTAAAGTGAAAGACTAAAAGATTTCAGATAACCTGCGTTCTTTTATGATCTTTCAATGGACATGCAATCGTGAAAAAAAAATCACAATTTAGAATTATGGTTTTAAAAAATCAATATTTAAAGTTGAAATTTAAATAAAAAATAAAATAAAATAAATATTTTAAACTTTGATACCTCTGTGGTTCAGATTTTGCTATATCTGAGCATAAAATCAAAGGTAAGACATGTGAAATGGAAGTCAATCTGAGCTGAATGTAAGAGATAACATAGTGCTATTCTTGATTAGTTATTAGAAATTCTGTCTTTAAACAGTAAAGATGCCATTACACTAACAGAAATAAAATGCAGTACCTTCAGATAAATGACAGCATCAGTACCCACTCCTTCCATGGAATACAGTTTTAGATCTCCCTGGAAATATCTAGCATACAGACGAGAAATTGGCAAACCATAACCAAATCCAGCCTATTAAGAAAAGAAAATTAATACAGTGAGACATGCACAAATATTTCATATGGGGACCATTCAGAAAAGATCAATAGAATTTCTTGATCTATATTTAAATCAAATGAATTATTAATTCAACCTTTGTGATGCATATGCTTATCTACTGCAAACGGTCTATTTTTACCCTGTAAAAACATTTCTTATATGTTTGGATTATAACACAAATATTATAATTTTTTGGCAGTACTTGGGTTTGAACTCAGGGCCTTGTGCTTGCTAGGCATGTGTTCCACCACTTGAACCACCTGATTTAGTTATTTCTTAGATAGGGTCTCACGTTTTTTACTGGGCTGGCCTGGACTTCAACCCTCCTACCTACGGCCTCATGCATAGCTAGGATGTTAGGTGTGTACCACCATGGCTGGCTTGTTGGTTGAGATGGGGTCTCACCACTTCTCCCAGAGCTTGCCTCCTAATCCCTACCTCCATTGGGATTACAAGTGTGAGCTGTTGTGATGGGCCCAGAGACCTCTACTTTTTGACTTGCTTTCTAAAAACATTTTGAAGTAAAATTATAGTAGTTTTAAAAACACAAATCCAAAATTAAGTAAATTGAATATGATGACAAAACTAAGCCATATTCAGTTCTAACTTCCATTATCAGATTCCCTTGCTCTCTCTCTGAAGTGAGAATTAATAGCCCAGGAGTTCAAGTCTACCAGTAACAAGGCAAAAACACTGAAAAGAAAATAATTTCTGCAGAGACTACTTCTTAAGGTTCTGGAAATGCTATAGCATTTTTATATTGTAGTTCGTATATTTTTAGAGATAAGAAAAAATTCTAGTATCTTCTTATATTTCTATGTCACAAAACCCTGACAGTCAATAACAGGTATTTTTAAAAAGGTCTTAGATATTGATGAGAACAGTAAGAATAATCGAGACTAAATTCAATAGCCTTTGTGGTGATCATGAATAAATGCTATCCCACCAAAATCCATCACCTATGATTAAACTGATGAGCAAGGTTAAAGGAGGACAATAGTTGCAAGGGCTTTTTAGAGCTAAGTTGAAATTACTTTTTTGTATAACTGAGCAGTTTACTCAATCTCTGAGACTTTTCTCATCCAAACATGTAATACAAAGCTTACCTCAGAGCTGCTATAAGAACTGAATGATACAATACATGTGAAGTCTTGGCACAACACCTAACACATAGCAAAAATAAATAAATGGAGGACAGTATTATGGCTGGTAAGAGTAGCAATTTTATCAAGTTACATGGATTTCTGCCATTTTCTAACACCTCTTCTCAATATCTTCTTTCAGGTTGGGCCTAACTGAAAGGGTGGGATGACCCATCCTGTCATTTAATATCTTTAGGACTGGCTGAATATGGCTAGTAGTAAAGATGAACTATCCATAGTAGTGACTGAAGTAATCAAGTCAAAGAAATCAAGTGTACACCAGGAAGACACCCAAGGAAATTTGCCTTCTGCTTCCAAGCAAGGCCCAGACCTTGCCCTCAGTTCTATTAGGAAACAGCAGAGAACACAATCATCCCTGTGAAGAGACAGGGAAGCCCAAAGGCCTCAGAAACACAGCAGAGAGGCCTCTATTTTGGATTTGGCAAGGTTCAGGGGGATCAATAGGAGTTAACTGGGCAGCTACTCCCAAGAAAGAAATGTGTGTCAAAGCACAGAGATGTAAAATTCTAAGTTGTCTGGAGAAGAAATTATGTTTTCTAGTAGTCATACCCAAGCACCCACTTTAAAGCTGAGGACAGTTTATTAACTGGGAGAGATGCCAGTGGAAACATTTTCTTCAGAAAGAAAAACCACATGGTATACTGGAAAGAACACAGACATAACCAAAAGCTGCCCTTCCATTAATTAGCTCAGTGACCTGCCCAAGGTACTAATCTCATTTCCCCGTCTATATAATGGGAGGGTGGATACATATTAAAGGTCTCTTCTTTCAGTTCTTCAGTTTCACAAAGAATGCTATTTTAAGACCTGGAATATACAATTCATATTCCAATTAAACAAGTAGGGAAGGCGCTAGATTTGTTTGTAGTTTCTTTTTTCTTTGATGTTTGTTTAAGAAGGTACAAGACCCCAGTAAAGCCAATACCTTTCCAAGTTGATCTTTTATGAATTTTCTTAAATCCTATAAATGACTTCCTCTCTGTTTTCCACATACAAAGTTAACACACTCTGCCTCAAACAAACAATGCAAAGTGTTTGATTTTATACAAATAAAATATAATCTTATATGCTTATCAGTCAGGCAGGACTTAAAAATGAAACTTAATTTATACCCCGAACCATTTTGCAGACTGATAGATATGTTGCTGTGTTTAAATGACAAAGGGTTCAATTGTTGTTTGTCAATTAGAAACACTCAGCAGGGAAAGAAAGTGTGGCTCTACCAGGATCTAAATGCTACCATGGTAACCAGAGGCTTTTCTCACTGCCTTAATAGGGCTGAAGGTTATTTCCAGAATACGATAGAAGGAGCTCTGAAAAATGCATACACCACCTATGCATTTTGTGCTTAGGTTATTTAATATGAACATTTTAATGTTTTCATAAAGAACATTTTAATACTATAAACAAGTTTGACAGCAGAGATTCAAAGGCTCTAAGTGACCTGGGCCTCTATGAGATGTAGCATCAATGTGTCCAGGACTAAGCTGCAGTTACACACCCTGCACAGGCCCTTTGTTCACCCACTGGTAACTTTCACCCACTCCGAGGATAGTGAGAACTAGATGGTAAATGGCATCTCAGTAGCAGCCTTATCACAGTGAAATGCTTTCTCACTATATTTGGGAGTAAGGTACTCAGTTCAGAGTGTTTCTTAAGACAAATTAGAGGAGCAATCTAAATCCAAAGGACTTGCAAAGAAAGTAGCTAAGGTAAAAACTTCCTCCTCCTCCAAACGAATACAGGAACATTCTAATTCAGCAAGGCTAGTGCAACTATCCAGGGAGATGGGCTGCTTTCTTTCTCTGTGTTAAAGAGGTTTGCAGTGCTTACCAAGGGGGCAGCTCTTGTAGGCTCCAGGCTAGGCCGAGGAGCAGTTGAGTACATGTAGTTAAAAAGACGATCTATTTTTCGAAGTGGGACGCCACCACCTAGGTCACTTATCTGCAGTGTACAAAACATTAAAAAAAGAAATTAATCTATACTTAGTAGGAGGCAATGAGTCCAATAAGTAAAGTACATGGTAGAGTATTCTAAAACATATAAGGGCTTTGAACCCCCACTGAAATGTGGTTCCTTTGGGAACAGTGTAAAGGAGGAAGCTAGATCCCATAGGCTTGTGGTTAAGGTCTTGTTCATTGAAGTCTAAATGAGGTAACTTAAGCCAAGAATCCAGCACAGTACAGTCATATGTCACTTAAAGATAAGGGTAGAGAAATGTGTGGTTGGGTGATTTTATCAAGTGAAAATAACAGAGTGTGCTTACACAATCTAAGTTGGCTACAGTGTGACTAGTCTTACAGGACCACCATTATATAGGTGGTCAATGCATTATTGACTAAAGCATTAATGCTGTACTTAGAAATAACACACTCAATAAATGTCAGTTTTCTTTCCTTCCCTCTGATTCTTCAATGTCTAGATAACTGATAACTAAATTAACTGATAATTAAAGCATGTATGCAAATAAAGCAGTTACCTTAATGGACAGGTCTTCTTTACCCAGAGTAACAAGGGTTTTAACAGCTGGGAATCCTTCTTTTCTACCTTCATATAGTTCAACTGTTGCTCTCATTGAATTCTAAAATAATAAGACTGTTTTTAAAAGCCATGCTGCTGACTCCTAAACCCCAATTTTAATTAATTAAGTAAACTAATTAATAATTACTGAATTTTAGAAATTACTGAATTTTTAAGAAAAAAATGAGCACAAGATTACTTATACCCCAAAATTTCTCAGAGGGAGGAAATATTAGTTGGATTTATATGGCATTTTTTCCTCTAAAGAGCTTAGCTAAACATGTGTTCACAAGGAAAAATTTGACACTTGTTTTGCATCTAGTTTTAGCCCTATCCAAACATGCTAAATATTTTTTTCTTTCTTCCTTTTTTTGCTTTAGGGTTTCTAAATTATTCAACTCATCTCAGAGGAGTGTTTTTTTTTTAATCACATGTAATGAAGCTGCAGAGGCTGATTTGTGCACTTTAAATCCTATTTATCAGTCTGCATTTATAAAGCACCTTTCCTCTAAAGAAGGCAGAAAATATGAAAGGATTCATATTTCCCACAAAAATTAATCATTTGGCTGAAAAAAAGTAAAAGAAGTATCAGTTAAAAAGAAATTCTGAAAAAGCCACAGCTGTTGATGAGAGTTCACAATTGAATGCCCATCTCCATCTTAAAGTATGACATCGGTAACATTCTAATTTTTGGAAGCAAATCAGCATAACTGATTTTTCAGGTGTTAAATTTAGTGTTTTACACATTGGAAGAAATGAAATTTTAGCTCAAATGCCTTGTGCCTTAATACTGCTGCCGTAAATGCCATTAGCTGCTTGGGAACAAAAGCAATAGCTTAGGCGATAGAGAATCTGAAGAGGTTTTCTGTCTTTTTTAGTCCAGGCTATCCACATCGTTCTCTTCTGCCTCTGTCAGATCAACTGAACTGATTCAAATATGTAAAAGGGTTACAGGATCTCTCAGGACTGGAACAACTATTGATACATGAACACAGTTAATACTAAGGAGCATAGATATGCATAAATATGTTTTTATTTTGTTCTAACACCAATAAATGCCAGGTTTGAAAACTAAAAAGCATCTTTAATCTCATAACTGGAGAAAAACAGTATGGATTTTATGTAAAGTCGCTAAAGTACAATTAAGTTTCAAAATCGATATGTACTAATATTCATGAAAACTATAATGTACACAGCAATTTTTCATCTCACAGTGTACAAATTATAAAACTCACAGGATAGCAGAAATAGAATTTTAAAAATGGTTATGCAAAACCTTTTTCTTATGCTAATCTAATGAATCCATTATGCCCTGAATCAAAGTAATTTAAAATGAAGACTTCTTTCCATGTTTTTAAATTCCACTTACCTTGAACAACTCAAATAGCATGTGAAATAGATGTGAGGGTACATAAACTACCTGAATAGGTTTGTCAGGTGCTTTGGCTGAAAACAGAGACAAAACCATCAATGAATAAGGACCCAAACTAGAAGAAAGCCAAGAATGATGTTTGTATTCTATTTTCCAAGTACATAAAACAGAACCACATGAAAAGCTAATATAGGTTTCCATCTCTAATTACAGTACTGAGCAAAAATATATGCTTTTGAATCCAGCTTGTGACCTTGGACAAATCACTGAAACTCTTTAAACTTAATTGAGCAAAATTGGAATATTAGCACCTATGCCATGATATTCTGAGCACTACATCAGGACGTCCAGATATCACTTGGTTTTCTTCAAACTGGGGGTGGGGGGCACCCTTATCACTGAACCCTAGCCGTCATATGGGAGAATATGAGCCACAGGAGAAGGGCTGGTAAATCAATTTAACAGCAGTATTATGGTTTGAGTTTGAAAAGTCCTCAGAAGGCTCATGTGTTAAAGGTTTAACCAGTTGGTAGTTGATGGGCTTTAGGAAAATGATTGAATCATGAAGACTCTGACCTTATCAATGACTAATTTATTGATAAGTTCACAATTTAATGGTATTGGTGGGAAGTGGTGGAAACTAGGTGGTAGGTGGGACCAGGTTGGAAAGTAGGTCACTGGGGGCATGCCCTTGAAGGGGATATCTTATCTCCAGTCCCTTCTTCGCTTTCTCTTTCCTGGCTGCCATGGGGTAAGCAGATTCCTCTGAAACATTCTTCTGCCACCATGATATTCTGCCTTACCCTAGGCCCAAAGCAATGGAGCCAGCAAGTCACAGACTAAAACCTCTCAAACCATGAACTTAAATAAACCCTTCTACCCTTAGGTTGTTTTACAGGTATTTTGTCACAGCAACAAAAAGTGACCAACATAAGCAGTATTAAATTTTGTTCAATTATGTATGATAAAGAGGGCATATCGTAGAGTGGAAAGTAAGGTTTACATAACTTTATACTAACAGCTAAACCCCTGGAGACCTATAGTCTTAAAGAATCTTCTGAAGAAAATCTGAGAAGCTGACTCTTATGTCAGGCACTAAGAATAGCGTGGGGTAGAAAGATGCTTAGAAATGTAGACCTTCCTCCTCCTCATGACCCGAAATCACTTAAGATATTGAAAGTATGTGAACTTTCTCAAGTAGAACACAGATATATCCATGTTATACTTTCAACCTAAGTACTTCCTAATGAAGTAATTAACAGCACTTTAGAGTTTACATTCATTTGGTTCTTAGTAGTTTACAAAAAGCTTCTACATATAGCATCCAGTTGAATCCTCATGACAGTACTTTGTAACTCATAGGGTAGGTAGTATTATTTACAGGCTGATGTGACCCCAGTAACAGAAGTGATGTTAAAACTGGGCACCTGGTGTTATGGTTTGGATCTCAAAAGTCCCCCAAGAATCATGTGTTAACACCTTGGTTGCCAGCTTGTGGCACTACTGGGAGGTGGTCGAATCTTTAGGTGAGGACTAGCAGGAGAAAGGTCACTGGGGACACACTCTCAAAGGGAGTATCAAGACCCTGGCCTCTTTTCCCCTCCCTCTTTGCTTCCCAGTTCCAATGAGGTAAGCAGATTTGCTCTACCTTGCACTCCCTGACATGATATTGTGCCTTACCACCAGCCCTAAAACAATGGATCCAAGCTACCATGTACTTAAACCTCTGATCCTATGATCAGAGGTATTTTTGTCAGAGCACCAGAAATCTGGCTAACATAACTGGCCCAAGAGCTTCTGGGGAAGAGCAGAATCAAACCCAAGGCCTCATGCATGCTGGCAAGTACTTTACCAATGAGTTACACGCACAGCCCCCAAGGTCTTTCTTTTTGTTTTTGGCAGTACTATGGTTTTGAACTCAGGGCTTCATGCTTGCTAGGCAGGTACTCTACCACTCAAGCCATACCCTCAGTCCTTTTTGCTTTAGTTATTTTTCAGGTAAGGTCTCTCATTTTTGCTAGGGCTGGCTTCAGACTGCAATCCATCCACTTATGCCTCCTGTGTAGCTGGGCGCATGACACCACACCTGCTCATTGATTGAGATAGGGTCTAAATAACTTTTTTTGTTAACGGTACTGGGGCTTGAACTCAGGGCTTTGCACTTTCTAGGTAGGTGCTCTATCACTTGAGCCACCCCGCCAGCCCCTCAATAACTTTTTTCCCTTGAGCCACAATCTTCCTGATCTCTGCTTCCCAAGAAGCTATATTACAGGCATAGCTGCCACACCTGGCACCCCAAGAGCTTTTGATTCTAAATCCTGAACTCTTTGATGATCAGTTATTTTAAAAATAATTTAGTAATATATACAAATGGCTGAATTTTTAAAGAAGAAAAAGTCCCTCCACCCTTTTCTATTTCACCCCTCTCTGTCCACATCTAGAGGAATCCACTGGTTACCACTTCTGCTGTAGTCTTTTGGTTGATGTGTGCATTCTGTTCTGTAACACTAATTAAAACCATACTGTTTTACTATAGGTTAAGAAACTTGCAAGTCAGAAGTGTTGGTAACATTGTAACTAATTGAGTACTGGTCACTGCAGAGTAGCCATAACAGTCTACTGGAATAACATTTCCTTCCCTGAAATCCAGTCATGACTCATGTGTCACTTGGAGGAGAATGCTCTCAGACTTTAGGTGAAATGGACTCTCTTTGTACTCTTCCAACTGCTCAGCATCATGCTACCCTTTTTGGGTTGCTTCATTTTCAGCGATGTCTTTCTTATATAGCTGTGTATTTTTCCTGGTGGTTCTAATTGTTTCTTCTCTTGGGTACCTGGACAAGATACATGCTTTCCTCACTGCATTACCAAGATTTTCCAGCCTCCTCTTCTTTTATATGGTATCCACTCCATTCTTCAAATAATTTTCAAATTAGAATCAACTGCTTTCTAAACATGCTACATAGCCATCCTGAGATTGTTTTTGATGAAAGTTCTAGAATTTTTCCGTTATATCCATATTATTTACCCCATTGAGCCAGTGAGGTGACCTACCTTGAAAAGATGTGAATGGGAGAAACACCTCTCAATTCTTATACCTCTTATTCACTTGATAGAAAGTTTGGCTAGATACAGAATTCTGGGATTAAAATCACTTTTGCTCAGAATTTGGGAAGGTGGTTTTCTGACAATAACAGTATAGCAGGTTAAGTTTAATGCCAGTTAGGTATCATTCATGCTACTGGCTTTTGCCAAGGTCTGATACACATGGTTGTAATATTCTTATTTAAGAAGAAAGAAGTAAAGTCATCATTTGAAGTAGCTGACTTCATTTCTCCCTAGAGCTCCCCTCTAAGTGGGAAGACTGAAGTAGAGCAATGTGTACCTGATCAAGATTTTTCCATTGGCTTTAGAATGAGCACACAGTAAACTGGCCTCTGACCACAGAGGTCTCCAAGTGCTCAAATGAAGAGGGCTTTACCTAGGGGTAATAACACTCACATAAAGCCCCAGTTCTTCCCAGGTTGTTCTTGAGTAATGTACTGTTTTGTTTTTAGTTTTTTTTGGACAAGGTCTCTCTATGTAGCCAAAACTGGTCTCAAACTATAGGCCCAGGCTGACCTTGAACTTATGATCCTCCTGCTTCAGCTTCCTGAGTGCTGGGATTACAGGCACATGCCACCATGCCTGGCTTGAACAGCACACTCTTATTTTGCTGTTAGTGGGCAACACCAACCAGAGTTCATCATTCCTCCATGCTCCCCTTAGACTAGTTTTTGCCCAACCCCTATCCTTTGTCTTTGCCTTCCCATTCCAATCGTTTGCACCACCCAGCTCTGTTCCCAGGGTCCCTCCAGGGTAACCTTTTGCAAACTGGCTGCCATTTCTGCTGCAGACTCCTCCTTTGTGGGTTTTTCTGTGCTGTGCTATCAATCAGCATACTTCTATCTGGTTACCTTCTTTCAGGAGCTAGGATTAGTGGTTGCCATGGACTCAGTGTTTATGCCCACCTCAATTCTTACATTGAAACCTAATCCTTAAGGTGATAGTATTAGGAGAGGGCCTTTTGGAGGTTGTTAGGACAAGAGGGTGGAGATCTCATGAATGGTATTAGTGCCCTTATAAGAGATCCCAGAGAGCTCCCTGGGCACCTACTTCCATGTAAGGACGCAGTGAGAAACCATTTAAGAACCAGGAAGTGGGCCCTCACTAAACACCAAATCTGCTGGCACTATGATCTTGAACTTCCCAGCCTCCAGAACGATGAGAAATAAGTTTCTGTTGTTTGAGCTATCCCATCTCTGGTATTTTTGTTATAGCAGCCTGAAGGGACTAACAGTGGTCCACTGATGAACTCCCCTGGTTTCCTTTGCTGTTTTCTCTGGATCTTTTATTGTCATTTTAATAAGCAAGCTGAATGCTTACTCTAGTCTGTCTTGTGCCAAAAGGCATGATTACTTGTATAAATAGTCTATGAATTCAACCTTTTCACTCCAAATCTGAAGGAAATGAAAAAACCTTGTGTGTGTGTATGTGTGTGTGTAGTTCAAACAAAATTCTCTAGGAGCCATATAAAGGCTTCTCAATTACTTGCACTTTTCTTTGTCCACAACTCTTCCCTTATCCTGGGTCTACTGGCTGTTAAGCAAAATAAGACACAAATGGATTATGAATTTTCTACCTAATAGTACTTTAAAAAGTCAATGGAAAAATGGTCTAGGTTTTTCATGCTTAAGACTCATGAAATAATAAAGTCTCTATTTTGCACAGTCATTGCCCCCAAATACCAGTAGTTGAAGCAGCATTTAATAAATGCCAATGGAACTCTACGTAGACGTAAGAAAAGGTAGCAGCACACTTAAAGGTGGCTAACTGATTCCCCAAGTCAATGGATAAGGTTATTAAAAATAGTATACAGTACGGTTCAAAGTCACACTGGGATCAAGTCTTGACTCTGCCATTTGATAACTATAATAAGAGATATTTAACCCATCTAGTCTCAGTGTTCCATCTCCAAAATGGGGCCAGTATACATGTCACTGGGTAAATACAATATTTAAATGAGATAACAGTAATAAAATTAGTATGCACAGAGCCTTTCACATAGTAAGTATTCAATACGTGTTGTCTATTACTATCACTAAAAATTAATTTCTCATTGCTAACAGAGTTACCAGTAGTGACTTTTGAATTGTGCCTGGAATTACTAGAAAAAGTATCCAATATGGGGGAACTAGAGATCAAAGATCCTAGGATAGACATCTTTTTTATGAACTCTCTTAAAACAAATTATATATAGTATGAATTGAAATTTTCATGTTTTCCATAAAACCAAAAGCTATGGATCATCCTCTTGATAGGAAAGACCAATGTAGAAATGGTGAAGAAATGCAAATAGGGACAAAGTCAACTCTGATTTCCAATATCTACCATTTACTAAATATCCTGTATGTATCTAGTAGCATACTTGAGGAAGTAGAGACACTGCCCTTCTATCATCCTGCAAGGCAAGCTTAAAAATGGAGAAGCTGAGGGTTACAGAGCCAAAGTGATCTGTGTAAGGCCCATGGTGCTTTTAAGTGTCAGAATAAGATGCCTATTGCCTACTGAGCTACAAAGCTCACATCTGTCCCCTAAGCCATGCTGCCTTACCACATGGATGGAAAAAGGGTAAGATAAAAATGTTTATTTTCTTAATGTTTTGCCAACTGAATGAGACTAGCAAAAGCATGAGAACCAGTACAATGAAGCTGTTCTGGACTTTGGTAAAACCAATCATGGGTAGATAGTCAGAAATATCTGAAATCAGGCTGGGATGTATCTCAGCAGTAGAATAAGTGCTTATCATGTATGAAGCCCTGGGGTCCATCACTAGTGCCAAAAAAAAGTAGAAAAAAGAAATTTGAAACTTGATCTAAGATAAACAAAATCCTGTTATCTTTAATGCTCCTATTAAATGTGTTACAGAAAAAGACAAGGAAGAAAATTGACCACTGCTTGCCTCCAACATCTCAAATTCTAGGGAAGACTGTTGATTACTGATGGGTGTCATCAATATATGTTCTATATAATCCTAGTTACTACTCTCTTAGGAGTCCACATTGGGAAAGGGAAAAAACCTCCAAAAATTCAGAAACAAAAGATAATATGCAGAACTAACAGAATGTCAATTCTCAGGGAAGCAATATACTGTTTTTTGGATTAATGGCAGCCTCATTCACTCACTCTGAAGGCCAGAGCAGCAAGCAAGATCACTCTATTGTTAGCACCCATTGTGTAATGGAATCATCCTGAAAGGGGATTCTATGTAGTTTCAATGAGCTCTCAAAGTGAATCCACATGAATCTGGATCTGACTCCTTCCCAGAACATGGATGGGGATCAGCTGTTAAACTGTTGGAAGCATACTCGCTCTCTCCCTATAAAGGATAAGCCTCAGGACCAACCTCATCTCTATCACGGAGCTTGTTAGAGCTAAAGCACAATCTTTAATCATGCCCACAAGGAGCTTTGGCATTCAGGAAATCACAAATATAAATTACAACTACATTACCCAAAGCAACCAAAAACTAGGGGCTACCTATAAGCACCAGCACTCATTTCTCTTAGTGATGGGAAAGGGGGCTTCAAAATGTAATATAAATGGGGCTTTTCTCATTCATGAGATTGTATCAAAAACAGCTGTAAAGCTCTTGTCATGATGGCTAAACTGCACATGACAGCCTTACTCAGGAGGAATGTGTTGACACAGCTGGCTTGGGGACAGCAAGAATAGGCTACTCCTACCTGCAGATGAGTAAGGCTGCCATGTGTGCAAAGAAGCCATCCAGGGCTTGTAGTGTGACTTAAGTGGCAGAGTGCCTGCTTATCAAGGGCAAGGCCCTGAGTTCAAACCCTGGTATTGCAAAAAAACAAAAAACAAAAAACGAGACATCCATTGCAACCTGTGATTTTTAAGTTTCATCATTTGACAAAAATAAATCTGGATGGTTAGGTCAGGTCCCAACTAGCCAGTAAGAAGAAGTGGAATATTAAGATGCTACTAATCAGGAATACCTAAACTATATCCACTCAGTTCTGGTTGTTTATTTACTCAAAACTTCCAGCACAACTCCTCTCTAAGATCCCGAGACTTTGAAAGCAGCTCTGATGTCATACCTTCAGAATGTAGGGGCAACTGAAGTCTTCTTGCATTTTAATCTCATAAGAGAAACTCATTTTCGATATATTTCTGATAAAGAACTTGGCTTACCTTTAGTTGTAAATGCCCATACTCTAAGAATCAGTCATTCCATGTCTAGCATCCAACCTACAGAAATACTTGCACCTGTTCACAAATCTTCCCTTCTCACCTCCAAACATACACACACGACACACACTCTTTGCTGCTCATCACATGGAATACAGGGAAATTGGAAATCCTAAATGTATACTCAAAAGGAAGTAAATGGTTAAATAAGTAATAGTTATCTACCCAATGGGTAATCTCTAAATGACATTAATGTACACAAAGATTCTCAAAGTGAAATGGAAAACAGAATTTATAGAATGTGTATAGTTTCCACCTCATTTATAAAAAACAAAACACAGTATGGGGCTGAGAGAATACTGGGGCTTTCACTTTTTACTCGCATTTCAGTATTTGTGTTTTTATGATGAACATGTCTCTTTTGTCATTTACAAATAAAAAATGAGAGAAACATGCAAATAAATATAGAACCATATGACTAAAATAAAAATCAGCTACAACCCAACTATCCACAGGGCTGTTGTTTATATTCTGATAGTATAAAGCCTTCAAAATATTTTCTAATGTATTTATACTATTACAAACTTTATAGCCTATTTAAAAAAATTTCACCTTTTCCCACATGTTATTCTTTCAAAGTGTTATTTTAATTTTCTGACTGACTGATTTTCATTTGTATTAAGTTGTTTGGTGTCATAGCAATGTATGTTTCATCTCTCACTTTCTTTAAGAATGACAGCATCAACGCACTTTTCTTTTATATAGAAAAGTATAATTATGTGGCCAGATCACAGAGGTACTTGCAGATAAAGCAGGGTAGTCAAAGGTCTTTACTAAGATAGTAAAATTTCCCCTGCTAGTTGGGAAAGTTAACATAATAACTCATTTTTCTGTTTATATTGTGTAAAGTATTATTCTGAATGGCTGCATAGTATTCTACCTTGTGGGTATACTGCAATTTATTTAAGTAATGTTGTACTGTAGGAAATGGGTTGTTTTCTAACTATTCTCTATAAGAAAGCTTACGTGATCATCATTCTTGTACATAAATCTGTACACATTTCTATTTTCTCATTTTCTGAAGCTTAATTTGCTGGATCAAAGAAATATGACCATCATTAATTTAATTTACTGAGCCGGAGAAAGGACATTGTCAGCATTTTTGTGAAAGGCTATACCAATTTAAACTTATATAAGAAATGCATTGTTAATGACAGGGTATTTTTCTGGGCACAAATTCAAAGCATTAAAATGTTTTGTTTGATGTTTTGTTTTTTCAAAATGGAACATCACTCTGTTGCCCAGGCTGGCCCCAAACTCCTGGGCTCAATTGATTTTCCTGCCTCAGCCTCCTGAGTAGCATTCACTCAGCTTCCACTAGAAAGCATTAAAATATTTTAATCATTGCCATTTTGAAAGACGAAAGTGGTATTTCTGGTTTTGCCTGCATTTCTTAAATTAGTAAAGTGAAACGTTTTTCCACATATAGTGACTGTGTCTGTCATTTTGAAAACTGACTATATCTTTGTGCACCTTCTTGCTTGAGTACTTGTGCTTCAAGAACTTGGCAGTCTAATACATTACACATTTCTGTACAAAACTACTACAATATTCCCAGTTGACCCAACGTATGAAAAAAGGATTTTAAAGGATATAAAAGATGAGAAAGCAGCATCATTTAAGGATCTCACTGAAATACAGCTCAGAAATAATCAGTCTTTAGTTAGTTTGTATTTATGGTTAAAATTCCTTTTCTTTTACCATTGAATTCTTCAACTTCCAACTCTGGAGCTACCAGGTAATACTGTTCACAAAGCATCTTGGCTGTTTCATATGCATCTGTAAGAAAGAAAGGCTTAGCTGCTGCACCAATGAAATAGGCACAAACATGTGGGTGTGTACACATAAGATAAACAAAGACAAACTGTCTAAAGTGATGGTTTTAGAATTAATCAACTACCACCTTATCAAATATAAAAAAAAACACGGACAACAAAAAACAATCTGTGGTCAGAATTTGTGTCTTACATTTGTTTTGCAACTTGCATAGAACTCAGTATAGTGCCTGTTTAGATGGTCAAGAGATATTCCTTGGTTTGATAAATTGTAAACCTGTTCCTATACTATAATTCACTCATTTAAAGTGTATATACAAGTCAGTGGCATTTAGTATATTTGCCATGTTGTGTATCTATCACCACAATCAAGTTTATAGTATTTTCATTACTATAAAAACAAGTCCCATCTCCATAGTAGTCAGTTCCCTCCACCCAGCCTTAGGCATTCACAGATCACAGATGTCTAATAGAATTACTATTCTGACATTTCAAATAAATTGGATCATTTAAAATGTGTTCTTTTATGAGTAGCTTCTTTCACTTTGCATAATTTTTCCAAGTGCCATCTATGTCATCGCATGCATCCGTAAGTACTCCATTTCTTTTTATTGCTTAGCAATATTCCATAGTACAAATATACCATATTTTCTTCATCCACTAATTAGGTGACAAACATTTGGATTGTTTCTTCTTTTTGGCTATTATGAATAATGCTGCTGTGAACATTCATTTCTATGTTTTTGTGTGAACATGCTTTCATTTATTTTGAGTGTATACTAAGGATTGGAAAACTAGTGGATCATATGCTAACTCTACATTTAAATGTTTGAGGACTGCCAGACTATTTGTCAAAGCAAGACTTTTTAAAAAGTTTCACCTTTATAATTTCTAAGGATCAGATATTCAGTCTATAGCCATAGTACCTTGAACACACCTGATCTCGTCTAAAGATCAGATTTTCAAATTACATTAAAATGCTACATGGGTACATTTACACTATCCTCAACTATGTATCAGCACCTTGAAGACAGGCCTGTACTTCTTTTATATGCTCACATCAATACTGCGCATAGAGAAGATACTTGTTTAAGATCAAGAGGTCAGAGAAACAAAGGAAAGAAAGTACACTCTACAGAATTTAAGAAACAATTTTTAAAAGAATTGATCGTTGTGAAATAGACATAAAAGTAGGACTGAATTTCAACCCTGAAAAAAGAAAGATAGAATTTTAAATTACAATAAGTTTGCAAGTTTTTCTTCTAGGATATAATAAACCTCAACAATTATCTGTAAAACACTTCTGTAAAAAGAGAAATCAAGACTCACTCCCTTTCGCTTTTGGCTATACCACCTAACAATGCTACATCTCCACCTAGTGACGTGATAGCACAAAGCGGCCCATGAACTTCCAAGACCACAAATTCTGAAATTTAAAAATAATGCTTTGCTATCTATATACAAAGGCAATACATCACAACTCCTCCAGGTATATAATAAAGATGCTTAAATACTGAACTTCCTTTCACTATAAAACAGGAAAAGAAACTACACCCACTAAATCTATTCCCTCATGGTATTAGCTTCCCCATTAGTATGATTATGACAGACAGCACTGAAAACATGTTATACACGTATGTGTGGAAGGCAGTAGAGCCCAGACAGAAGCTCCCAACTTCCAACCGAAAGATCTAGTATGGCTCCTAAAACTGTGTGTGAATAAGAATATTTTTAGCATCATTATAAACTACAGTGTATCAATGCTAGAGTTAAGAATTGCTTCAAGATCCTTGAAAAACTCAAGACATCATAATGTAGACTCACATATATCAGCCAGCCAAAAGCTTTTGGGGGGGGGCATTAATGGTAAAATCTATATCAACATACAACTTTATAAATTCTAACAGCATGCCATAATGCCTTAGACACAATACACAATAAGTATTTGCTAAAGGACTGGGACGTAGCTCAGTAGTATAGAGTTTGCCTGGCAATGTGCAAGGCCCTGGGTTCAATTCCCAGCATGGCAAAAACAAACAAAAACAAGCATTTGTTAAATGGAACAATTCTTTGGCCCATGATAAAGTTCTCAAAATGCAGTCAATTACACTGGTGGGAGGTATTCCTTTTTGGCTAGATTGGGTAGTAGAGGCCTAGAGTGGTTCCTAAACATGGCTGTGTATAGAGTTCAATATCAAGTTTAAAAAGAATGCACATTACAAAATGTACCCTTGGAAATTCTGAGGCAGTTGCTATGTCTTGAGGCCTGGAAATTCACATTTTAAAAATGTAGCAAGTAATTCTGGAGAGAAGCTAATTTTGATGACCACATGCCTGGAAAGTCAAGGCTGGGTCACAATTCTGCCATTGTCACTCCCAGGATAGGAATGACCATATAGTACTATAATGTTTGATAGCACTCAAACAGGGCACTTTTGTTCAAGCAAAATAATTTAACATAAAAGTGAAAAGGGCTTTAAAAGTCACTAACGTAACAACCAAAATTCAACTACTGGCTTTTAAATTTCCCTTTTATTTTTTTTGGTGCTACTACGGTTTAAACTCAGGGCTTCGTGCTTGCAAAGCAGGTGTTCTATCACTTGTGCCATGCCTCCAGTCCTTAAATTTCCTTAATACCAAGAGTAAAATGCAAGTTCTATTTATAGTAAGTTTTCTAACAAAATTTTTCTATTTTTTAATTAGAAATCAAATTTTCAGAAAAAAATTCAGCCATATTTACCACTGCTCTTTAAAAGGAAATATTAGGAAACTGTTATTGCCATTGAACATAAATGGTAGTCATCGTTTTAAGAATCTGTTTGTAGGACTAGAGGCATGGCTTAAGTGACAGAGTGCCTGCCTAGCAAGCTCAAGGCTCTGAGTTCAAATGCCAGAGTACTGCCAAAAATAAAATCTGTTTGCAAAGGTAGTAAGATGTTGATGACAAAGTAATTAACAAAACTGTGAATGTGGCACATATATACTTCCTCCGGCTAAAATGCTTAAACTGTATAAACACACAAGACTCAAAATTAAAAAGGCTTCATTAGAAAGTGTAGGGTAAAGGTTCACATAGCAATTAGCTGAACAGATCCAACCTTAGCCATGAATCCGTTTTATGAACCACCACACAGGAAAACTGAATAGATCGTGGCAGTTATTTTATTAGATTTTCCTACACAAAATTCACCATATAATTCTACTATTAGCATTTATCCTAAATACATTCAATCATTTATTTACAGATAAGAACCTAGAATGTGAGTGCTAAAAAAATTAAAATTAAGATACCATGATCCCTAACAAATAGAATAGAAAAACATAAAGCTCAAGTTTAAGAATCTACTGTCAGAACAAGGTAAATGTAATTGACCATAAAGCCATACAAAGGTATAGATTTGTTGCTTTTAATTTTTATTCTTTAATAAAAACAATCCCACACCATTATTTTTATCTGGTAAGAAAATTAAGGGTAATGCAAACAATATGAACGATGCATTATAAGTACATTCTCCAAAAAGGGTCCTGTCTGGGGGATTGGTACCAGTGGGAGGGGGAAGGATGAGTAGGAGGGTGAATATAGTACAAATACTGTATATGCATGCATGTAAATGGATAAATTAGACCTGTTGAAAGTATTCAAGGAATGGGGGAAGGGGGATAAAGGAGAATAATGGAGGGGGTTAATTCAAATATGATTCGATATATTATAAGAACTTCTGTAAATGCCAAAATGTACCCCCAGCACAACAATAAAAAATAAATGTTCACAATTTAAATTTAAAAAAAGAAATACATTCTCTAACAAAAGATACCTAAAAACTACTGCCTTCTCAATAGTTCATCACTGCACTGATCATTTCTAGTTAGATACTTGGAAGAAGAGTAATACTATTTTTTTAGTAGAGCTGACCCAGTTGTTTGGTTGACTTTGCATTATCTGATATACAAGGTTCATATACTCCTCAAAACCCATGATTCAGCTCTCTATCTGCATATTCACTTGCTTACAGAACCACTTCTGAGTTCGAGATTTATTTTACAAGTACCTAACTAGACTGATGAGCTACACTTTGCCTCCTGAACTTTTTGACTCCAGTCACAGTACGCCATGGTGGAAGTTTACAAGGAGCACACTGACCCACAGACTCCCTTACAAACAGAAACTTCCCAAATTGATATGCTACTTTTTAGAAACCACTTTCAGTTACAAAGAAATTCTGATAAGCCACATTTGTTATCCTTCCTACCCAAAACCCATCCTGAGTTGGAACTACCAGATTTCTTAAGCAGTAGACCCTTCCTGACCACCCAAATCACAGGAGACTGGAGAAGTGAGGGCAGAACACCTAATTTAAAGGCAACAAATATTGAGGCTGACCGGAATCCAAAAACTTGTAGTCAAAGGCAAAAAAAGGGATGAGTTTGACCAATTTAAATCTTTTGGGAATTGAGGATGGGGATGATCAACAAACGCAAAGCCAAAAGGGCACACTGAGAGTTATTATGATCTACAAAGGCCCAGAGTGCCCAACATTGCCCTAAACAGGCTGTAGGCAGGGTATAGATGACAATGGGTAAAAACGCAGGCAAAGAAAGGTGGAGAGGCTATGATTTGGCATCCCCAGTTGCAAGATACCCAAAAACCAATTTTGTTTTCTGGTTCCTAATTCTAATATCTGTAACTCCAACTGCAAAGTGCTTCCTGTCCTTGGATCACCATGGGACCTCCTAGGATCTTTTAATAAATCTGTTTCTAGAGCTAACATGAGTGGGTCTCTCTTACTTGCAACCCGAAGAGCCAAAAGTGAGAGTATAAGACATTATTTCTGAACCAGAATGATGTCATGCTTTCAGGATACCATTTGGATGCTATTATGCTAAGCAATAATAGCACATAGGAAAAATACACACAAGTTAACATCACTGTGAGAGCTGACTTTTGTACAAAGTATTTAAGTTTGTACCTTTAAAATGATCTTACCATAGGATTTTCCATTTGATTTGCTGGTTTCTTACAAAGGAAGGAGGGAAAAGGGTCACAATGGTAGGCACCTCCCAAAGGATAATAGGACCTGCTTTACAACACTAATTCTAGCATTCACTAACCCGAGTCTATAATTTTCAGATGTGTAAAGGTAGATATTAATGTGCTAAATAGGCCACAAGGAGGCATACTTCAGGGTTCTGCACATTCAATTAATGTTACACAGGATGCACTCCTACTTTTACACATTTATACAACTGTCTAGTCAAAAATAAAAATATTGTTCCTACCCTTGATATAAGTTTTCTGTAGTCTACCTCAAGATATCTAAATACAGGATCACTGTTAGTTTGTTCAGGCTCACGAGGGCTATAGAACGAACACACACATGTGCGCACACACAGGCACATGGACACACACCCAGAGGGTCATTTGAGATGGATATCTAGCTATGCTTAAACCATGGAAGATCTTCACAGCTGAGAAAATCATGAGTAGAGCTATCATTAAAATCCAGAACATTTACTCTCTACATCAAGCTTCTTTTACAAACGGAAGGAAAGATATAGAGATGCTGAGTGAGAAGATTAACGGACTAATTTCAGAGGATGATGAGAGAAGGCAAAAAGCTGGTGCAAAAACACCAACTACTCTTTAAAAGAGGAAGGCAGTGTTAAGACTTTACTAAGTATAAAGTGAAGCCAATGTCCACTTCTTTTCTTTGGCAACACTTGGGGGTACTGAGGAGAAGAGATGGTGTGAAGCCTGGGCCATGTGGGGCTGATTATTTTTTTAAAAAAAAAAGCACCACTCTATAGATAAAGAAACTGAGGCCCAAAGATGTTATATAACATGTCTAAGGTCACCCAGCTAACTCACATGGCCATCAGCTGATGAAAAAACACAATGCTTTATGCACAAATTAAATATTTTTAGCTATAAAGAAGGAATACAGTACTATAGTATTATAAAATGGATGACATTTGAAAATATTATGCTAAGTGAAAGAAACCAGTGACTAAAGACTATCTACTGTGTGATTTTTATGTGAAATGTCCAGAAAAGGAGAATCCATATAGAGATAGAACATAGATTAGTGGCTGCCTAGGGCTAGGGAGAGGGGTAGTAGAGAGTGACTGATAATGGGTAAAGGGTTTCTTTGGGAGTGCAGAAAAGATTCTAGATCATGGTGACATTTGTGTAACTATAAATATACTAAAAACCACTGAGTTGTTTGTGCACTTTAAATTGGTGAATTACATTGTATGAGAATTATGTCTAAATAAAGTTTTAAAGTAAGTTATCAAAAAGTTCAAACCAAAGAATATGTATAGATCATCTATACAGGCACTACACACTAGGTTCTATATGAGTTACAAAACAAGTTTAAGACACAAACCCTGACCTTAAATTGATTACAGTTCAAGAGAAAAGGCATAAGTGCAATATACAGGCTAGGCCTATTTGCCTTAGAATAAATATAATGTGAATAAAGGTTTTTGGCTAAATAGAGGCCAAGGCAGCTTGACAATCAGGCTGAGCTAAGACAGGCTTGGGCTCTTAGCTTGGGCTTAGGAAGGCCTGGGGTAAACATGTTGCACAGGTTTTCCTTAGCCATGGCTGCTGAAGAACAACAAAGATCTTTGATGAAGACCAGGGAGAGTTGAGGTCATGAGGTCATGAGAGTTGTTTAGAGGAGGGACCTGAGGAGAACAATAGGAGATACAGTCTGGAGAAGGGGACAGGTTGGGAACCTGAGGTTGCACAGAGCAACCGTAACACTGAAAAAACCCAAAGAGGTGCAGGAACCTGGTGGATCACTCACAACCAGGCAGGCTTTCTGGTGATAGCCTGAATACCAGATTTATGACTACCTGATTTATGTTCTACCCTGAAGCTACTAGCAGTGTCTAGCTAAGCACACATGCCATGTAGATTCTAACACCAGAAGTATAGAACAGAAAAGTGCTTAAATTTTATAATCATGTGAATTCAGCCTCATTTTATAACAAAGAAAAGTCAGACAATGGTGGCATATCAAAACTTAGAATCTTACTTAAGTGTTTATTGTTTGAGATGGAATAAGTACAACCCTGATCAATGAGGTAGAAACTTACATTTTACATGCATTACACACATTACAAATTATGCATCTTTTCCTGAACTGTGTAGAACATTTCATATTCGGAGTAAGTGGTTTGGGCCTATTACACAGCAACATAACCTGATAGACAAGTAGCTATAAGTAAACTACAGTGCTATTTGAGCCACAGTCAATAACACTGCATTGTTCTCCTTACCTTTCACCACATCAGCCACATTACAGGTGGGATCAATACTTCCTATGTGTTTGGGATGAGCAGGATTCGGATCACCACCAAACAGAAGTGCTGAACAGACACAAAAGGGAGGGGAAAGGATTAAAACACAGTGGGTTGGGATGGTCAAGCAAAGAAATAGAGAGACTGCTAAATGCTGAAAGCATCTCTTATTTGTAAGAATCATTCTAGCACCCATAGTGACTTAGAGCAATGGAATATAAATGATAGGCAAGCATCTCCATCACCCAATTAAGGAGGAAAGGATATGCTTCAAGACCCATAAGTTACAGTCAGCAGGTCCTAAAGCAGTGACACATATCAGGTACCCAACCAATGTGACTTAGATGAGAAAACTTACTTTCAACCTTAGCCAAGTTTATCTACCTTTTCAGGGTACTCTGAACACTTATTTCAACATTTGCTAAATATTTAGAACATTCAGTCTGTACTCTTTGGATAGGCCTGCAAAGTATTTTCATTGGCAATATTTCAAATGCCTCCATCATGGAGACTATTTGTCACTGTCATGTACACAAATAAAATTTGTTCAAGTATTGCTTAAAGAACATTTTGATAATTTTACCATATATAAGATTTACAAATTTTTCATTTCTGAATAAAAGCCAAAAGAAGTCTCAAAGATAAAAGTAATCTCAATCCAAATGTTTGTATGTGTACTTATTTTTAAATCAAATGAATATTGAGAATAACTTAAGACTCCACAAAAACTGCCTAAATAAAATAGGAGAGATTTTAAATTAAGAAAAATGACAAACATAAGCATTAGGTCAATACATCAAGTTCCAACTGCTTAAGAACCAAAACAGAGCTGTATAAGCTTAACCAATGAGCTAAAAACATGCACATACATATGTATACATATATATTTAGATCAGAAGAAAACTGCAGTTATCTAACTGGATTAGTTGGAGAGTATTAGTTCTTTTTGCCTATAAATAGTCAGACATTTCTGTTTTTTAAAGATAAAGCATTTAAAATAAACCCGAACTTAATAGTTCTATAACATTCTCTTTTCCAAATCAAATTAGTAAAATAAAGGTGCTCTGCTCATTTTCTGGTTCAGCAAGGGGGATGAATTAGGCTCCAAACATGTGGATTCTTTTTCTTAAGAATATGAAATCAGCCAGGGACAACATTGAAAATGAAACAAAAAGTTTTTCGTCACAAGAGGCCACGAATAGCCAAGGCAATACTCAGTCAAAAGAACAATGCAGGAGGTATCACAATACCTGACTTCAAACTATATTACAAAGCAATAACAATAAAAACAGCATGGTACTGGCACAAAAACAGACATGAAGACCAGTGGAACAGAATAGAGGACCCAGATATGAAGCCACACAACTATGACCAACTTGTCTTTGACAAAGGCGCTAAAAATATACAATGGAGAAAAAGCAGCCTCTTCAACAAAAACTGCTGGGAAAACTGGTTAGCAGTCTGCACAAAACTGAAACTAGATCCATGTATATCACCCTATACCAAGATTAACTCAAAATGGATCAAGGATCTTAATATCAGACCACAAACTCTAAAGTTGATACAGGAAAGAGTAGGAAATACTCTGGAGTTAGTAGGTATAGGTAAGAACTTTCTCAATGAAACCCCAGCAGCACAGCAACTAAGAGATAGCATAGATAAATGGGACTCATAAAACTAAAAAGCTTCTGTTCACAAAGAAATGGTCTCTAAACTGAAGAGAACACCCACAGAGTGGGAGAAAATATTTGCCAGCTACACGTCAGACAAAGGACTGATAACCAGAATATATAGGGAACTTAAAAAACTAAATTCTCCCAAAACTAATGAACCAATAAAGAAATGGGCAAGTGAACTAAACAGAACTTTCTCAAAAGAAGAAATTCAAATGGCCAAAAAACACATGAAAAAATGCTCACCATCTCTAGCAATAAAGGAAATGCAAATTAAAACCACACTAAGATTCCACCTCACCCCTGTTAGAATAGCCATCATCAGCAACACCACCAACAACAGGTGTTGGCGAGGATGGGGGAAAAAGGAACCCTCTTACACTGTTGGTGGGAATGTAAACTAGTACAACCACTCTGGAAAAAAATTTGGAGGCTACTTAAAAAGCTAACATTGATCTACCATTGATCCAGCAATACCACTCTTGGGGATATACCCAAAAGACTGTGACACAGGTTACTCCAGAGGCACCTGCACACCCATGTTTATTGCAGCACTATTCACAATAGCCAAGTTATGGAAACAGCCAAGATGCCCCACACTGACGAATGGATTAAGAAAATGTGGTATCTATACACAATGGAATTTTATGCAGCCATGAAGAAGAACGAAATGTTATCATTCGCTGGTAAATGGATGGAATTGGAGAACATCATTCTGAGTGAGGTTAGCCTGGCCCAAAAGACCAAAAATCGTATGTTCTCCCTCATATGTGGACATTAGATCAAGGGCAAACACAACAAGGGATTGGACTTTGATCACATGATAAAAGCGAGAGCACACAAGGGAGGTGGGTAGGATAAGACACCTAAAAAATTAGCTAGCATTTGTTGCCCTCAATGCAGAGAAACTAAAGCAGATACCTTAAAAGCAACTGAGGCCAATAGGAGAAGGGACCAGGAACTAGAGAAAAGGTTAGATCAAGAAGAATTAACCTAGAAGGTAACACACATGCACAGGAAATTAATGTGAGTCAACTCCCTGTATAGCTATCCTTATCTCAACTAGCAAAAACCCTTGTTCCTTCCTATTATTGCTTATACTCTCTTCAACAAAATTAGAATAAGGGCAAAATAGTTTCTGCTGGGTATTGGGGTGGGGGGGAGAGGGAGGGGGGAGTGGGTGGTAAGGGAGGGGGTGGGGGCAGGGGGGAGAAATGACCCAAGCATTGTATGCACATATGAATAATAAAAGAAAAATAAAAAAAAAAAAAGGTTTTTCGTGTTGAAAGATTTTTAGTATTTTCTCATATCTGCTTATCACCCTGGAGAGCAGACTAAAACGTTTTATGTGGGATTATGGACTAACAATCTTGATTAATCAGATTTCACTGTGAAACAAAGGATCAACTACTCATACTGCTAATGTGCCAATTTAATATTCTCGGTATTGATGATTTCAAAATTAAAAAAGAAAATATAAAACATCTTGGATAAAGAATAGAACATAATCTCAGAGACACATTAAAGTTTTCAAAGATGAATGCCAGGCTTCCATTAAAACCAGTCCCTTATCCCTAACAAAGAACATAATAACAGAGGTTTAAGGTAGACAGTGGTCATGTCTCTACTATGAGCATCATAAATGCCTTTCAAGAATCACTTTTAGCCAAGAATATTAATTAATAGCTTTTTAATAGATAGGATTCACTTAGGGAAAATTGAACTAGAGATGATTTTTTTTTTTTGGTGGTACTGCAGTTTAAGCTCAGGGCCTCATGCTTGCTAGGCAGGTGCTCTACTACTTCACCCATGTGCCCAGCCCTAGAAATGAAATTTCTACAGGGAAAAAATGTAGATCAGTAAATTGGAAAGCTTTTGGGAGAAATCACTCTGGTTACCTTTTCAAGTCTGGACCCAACAAAACCCAACTTACTGTGCTGGTTAATAAGCATGCGGAAAGAGATGCGGTTGGTATAAAATCGATCCAGAAAATATTGGATGTTACTGCTAATGAAGGGATCAAACCCAAACTTCTCCTTGTATTCAATCACTCCTTGAGCCATTGTAGGAACCACATCATTGTGTCGGTTTCTAACTTTAATCAGGACTTGTAGAAAACTGTGTGGGAAGGAAGCAAAATGTAGTCAGTCTTTATATTTCATGGGCTGGTGCACACACTTCAAGCCAGTTCTGTCCCCAGACTAGTTATCTGCTAGTATTTTTATAAAGACATTATTCTCATTAGTGGCAAAAGGAAGCACTCATAAGAAACTAAAGTATTACCAAAGGTTTTGCTTGAAACTTTCTGCAGAAATTTTTCTTTCAGAGATGCAAAGAGTAAAAGGTTCCACTAGGAAGAAATGCTCAAATACCTCTTTAGGAGTACACTGATTTTTTTACATAAGTGGTCACATGTAATACAGATTCTACAAATGTTTGTTGAGTAAGTAATTGCAGAACATATCAATATTTCTTCTGACAACATGAGGATAATCCCTCAAAAGTTTTTAAGGATTTATTATGGAGTCTCAAAGCAACAGCTCCTTCCACGAACAAAGAAAGAATGTCAAACCTTTTAAAAGTAAAATGTTAAAATAAAATCCTTGATGAAATGTAGATAAAATAAAAGCAATTTAAATGGATTTATTGCTAAGCACAGTGGCACATTGCATTGTAGTCCAAGTTCACTTGGGAGCAGAGGTGGAAGGGACTTGCTTGAGCTTGGGAGTTTCAAAAACCAACTGGGCAACATAGATCCTGCTCTCAAAAAATCATTCAAGTGTTCTGGATATTACTATAGATATATAGGGAAATGTATAAATATAGTAATTTAAAGAATAGAAAGATAAGCCAATCAGTGCTGGAACCAAATGAAGTGTGAAAACTAGGCCCAAGGTATGCGCATATAAATTTGGCAAGTGAGAAAGTTACAGGGCAAAATTAAGTAGGAGATAATCAAATTATTTGGGATAGAGCTAACAATTTAAGTCCTATCCCAATTTTAAACCTTAAGCCAAAAAAATGGATTCAAAATATAAAAGAGTAGAATCACAAAAGTGATTAGAAGAAAATTCAAATGAATAATATATAAACCTTGAGGGGTAAGGAAAACTGTTCTAAGTTTAATGCCAAAGGTAGAAACAAATGATATGAAGAAACAAAGATACGACTATGTAGAATTCAATGCTACGAGGACATACATATAAAGTTAAAGGAAAGTGAAACTGAGAAAATTATATTTTTCAAGAGTTATTATCCTTAATAAACTATGAATACCCTAGGGCTAGAGGCATGGCTCAATGGTAGAGGTGCCTCCCTAGCAAGTGTGAAAGCCCTGAGTTCAAACCCAGTTTATCACAAAAAAAAAGAAAGAAAGATGAGCAACCTATCA